TTTTGCAATAAAATGTTATTTTCAAAATTTTGACTAGCTCATAGAAATTTAACAACAAACATTACTTACCTTTAATCAAATTAAAAAGAAATGAGCACATTGACCATTTAGTTTTCTCAGTCGTGAATTCGGCTTTTCTAATAGACAACTTTGGCTTATTTTGGTCCAAGGAATATGTGGTATGTTTTTGTAAACATATTTTACTTTATAAATTGAATAACTTATTATTCTATATCTTCTGGAGCATTGTCGGTGAAATAATTTCAATTTTTTGATTCAGTATGTGCAAATTATTATAATTATAAATCTCTTCTAGACTTTGTATTTCACTACATTCAGTAGAAGGTAAATTTACCCTAAATAGAATTATACAGTGCTTCTCAAAGGTCCCCTCGTCCCTCTTTTCTTTTGAACGGTGATACTTATACTGATGAAATTTGGAGGGTGAAAATGAACTATTGTAAGCTTCTCTACTAGTGGTAACAGGTGACGTAATAGGCATCGGTGACGTCACCAGGCAACTAAAATCAATAATAATTAATCGAATCTTATTTTTAACCGACTTTAAAAAAGGAGGAGGTTATCAATTCGTCGCGATATTTTTTTTTTTATGTATGTTCATCGATTATTCTTTAACACGGTGTCCGATTTCAATGATTCTTTTTTTGTTAGAAAGGGGGTACTGCAGGGGTGGTCCCATATAAATTTAGTCAAAATATAATAATTGGGTCCATGAGAAAATCCTCAAACTCTTTATTTTTTATGTATGTTTAGCGATAATGCTTTACCACCTTGTCCGATTTATATGCTTCTTTTTTTGTTAGTAAGGGGGTACCACAGGGGTGATCCCATATAAATTTGGTTAAGATGTGGTGATGGCATCTGCACGTTTTTGAAGGCGGTTTTTTTAAATTTTTAATTTACACTTGTAACCATCAAAAAATAGTATGATTGGTGGTCGTAGGAAAAAGTATTTACAAAATAATCTACACAAGCCTATTTCAATATTTAGAAGATAAATACAATATGTTTTGTATTTTGTATAAAATTATTTTTACTAAATTAGCAAAGCATTTTTGGCTTTCGCCATTCTCATTGCTAATTTGCAGAAGATACAAGAAACTCTTTAAAGTAGTTTATGTTTTCTTTCCAGGAAGCACTAGGGTTTATTTTACTTTGTTAATCACGAAATTTAAAATGCTTGAATAATTTGTATTAGGTATTACATAATATTTATCGTCTATCATAAAACTCCCCACCGACTTATATAGCTTGCCTCGACCATCTAAAACCTCGAGCAATCTAGACTTTTCTTTGACAAGGAATGACATTTCGGGAATACTCTATCTTCTTTATTTACTCGTACCTTTATTTATGACGACCGCAGCACGCTACAGGGTGCTGCGTAAGATTGCTCCCTCCTCTCTAGTTATTCGCCCCGAATAACTTGATTACTGGGACCCGGTTAGAGCTAATGGGAAGGATCTGGCGGCATGGCGTTAACATCCCAATGTGAACTACCTTGGATTTACTTTACGCTGGTTTTTGGTATCACAATTTATTGAAAATTCAACTTTTACAATAACTCAATTCAACTGACATTATAACTCTAACTGATAACATCAACGTGTAACGTCTATCATAAAACTGAAACTCTCTGACGTCAGGTCGTCGCCTTATATAGCTTGCCTCGACCTTCTAGAACGTTTTCGAACAATCTGGACTTTTCTTTGACAAGGAATGACATTTCGGGAATATTCTATCTTCTTTATTTACTCGTACCTTTACTTATGACGATCGCAGCACGCTACAGGGTGCTGCTTAACAATATTTTATTATTATAACTTGAAGACGGACCAACTGAATAAAATACAAATTGCTATTAGCTTTAAATAGGTCTTTACCGGCGGAATTCATAGCAAAATCAAAATTTAGAAAATGTTTTCAATATATTTTAGTGTTTTTGTTAATATTATCACCTTCAACCGTTCCTAATTCTACATAGGTTTTGAACACATATTTCCATTTATTCAAGGTTTGTTGGAAACCTACATAAGAATTACTAATAATGTTCTACAACATATTTGTACCGCCTATATTTTTTATTTATTTACCTTTGAAATGACTTGGATCTTGTTCAAATGTATGTTTTAGGACAAACAAAAGATTTAATAGTAATTGTTAAACTTACAAGTAATAAAATTCGTTAAAAAAACATACTAGAAACTCTAACAATATTAAAAATAATATAAAATCACACAAAATGTACAAAACAAACTGATAATTCCCAAGTGCTTGTTGACAGTTGTGACTAAATTTTGGCGCTGGAGTGCGTTTAGAAACCTCTCACGGCGCGTCTGACCGCATACAATAGGGCCCAGACGCGCCGTGCGTGGTTTCTAAACGCACTCCTGCTGTTTAAAATACACGAATCACATCAAAGGCCCAGGAGGAAGAGAAAGTAATAGAAAAAAGGATAGAACAAATACAGACTGTTACTTATCTACACGTCATTTGTTTATCTGAATTTAAAATTAAAAACTTATATTTTTTGTGATCTGTCAAACACATTTAATTGTTTGCGTATTGTCAAGTTTATTTAATAAACAGTGTATTTAATTTGTAACCTAATTTATTTGTATTCAATACTACACTAATTTATGTCATTTACCTGTACACTAATTTATATGGACAATATTTATGTAAACTAAACGATCGCTCAACTTAAACTGACTAAGTAAAGGTGGGCATTTATTTACTCATGTGGCGTTTGTCGAATTCTTCTTTCCACCAAACTTCTAGACGTCCTTCCACTAGAACTAAAATATACATCGGTATCTTTAGGAGTTTCGGAGGTTGTCATTTGAAAGAATATTCTCGGTAACGGTAAAGATGGAGGCCGTAAAAAGATGAAATAAGGCAGAGATGAACTTAAGAGACAAGAGCATGACTAATCGTTTTGAGTCTATTTTAAAGGTAGTCCGACTTTCATTAAATAAAAAAATGTGAAATGTTATGCATAGGGAAATGGTAAGCCGTATACTGTCAGAAGAAGAGAGTTAATTAGTGGCTGTAAAATCGAACGTAAAAGTGTATAATTTCAAAATTACTACACGGAAAAAAAATTGTAGAACAAATTTCTACAATTGTAGATTTTTTCTCTACAATAAATAGTACATATAGGGACAGGGACAATTTGTAGTAAAAATTTCCAACTATTTGTGGAGAATGTATTGTAGAGTTACAATATTTAGTAAAAAGATCCAAATGCATCATAAGAATTGTTCTACAAATTGTTATAATTTTTGCTATTCATTGTATGAATTTATATTAAAAATGTATTGCGTTTTATGAAAATAAATACGAAAATTTTACACAATAAATAGTAGTAATTTTTAATAAAATTTGTAGTAGTATTCCATAATTATTATAATTATAACCTAGAAAAAAATGTTCCTTAATAAAATATTCAATTTATTGTTTTAATATAAAAGATACAAATTCTTAATTACATTATGTAATAAATAACAGTAATAATAGCGCCCTCAGTCTCAGTTGGCTTTTCTGCACCTGAAAAATATTAAATAAAAATTAATACCAATTGAATTGTTCATACCCTTAAAACGGGGATATTTATCACCTTTACACTGATTTGGATATTAAATGACTAAGTCAGATAACTAACAAAAATGAGAAAGTAGGTATGTCACAATTAAGACAAAAAAAATCATTGAACTTGGCACAAAATTCGATCGTTGGCCACAACTATTTTTTTAAAATAATCTACTAAGGTTATTTAAATTAGTTATCTAAAGTTAAATTATTCAGAAACAATAATAAATGTACTTACCACCAATAGAATTTATTATTAAAATTTTCTCAAACGCATCGGTGCTTATAATATGAATGTGTTATAGGTACCATGCTTTGTTATGTGAACATGGCGAATGGCTACTGCTGTCTGGCCGTTTATGATCGACGTCAGAAAACGTTGGCCAATAGCAGAATTCTGTTTTGTTCACATGACTTAGAATTTCTACAATATTATAGAATATTTTTGAAGAAGGGATGTAAAGTATTACTATTTTTTGTAGAGAAAATTACTATTTTTTGTAGAGATAATTATTAATATTTGTACAAATTTTTACAGAAGTTAGTAGTAGTAATTACGATAATTGTAATAAATTTCTACTTCTACAAACAATAGTAAAATATACTAAACATTGTGGACTTATTTCCTATTGTTGTAGCATTTTATTCGACAATTCAATTACTACAATAATTAATAGTTTTTAACTATAAATTGTAGTAAAATTTTCTACAAATTGTTAAGTATTTTTCTACAAGTCTACTACTACAACATTGTAGTAAAATTTTCTAGTCACATTTTTTTCCGTGTAGGAACAACACTGATTATCAACATTTTCATTGCATCATTCAAACGAAGAACATAATTTCGTAAGAGTTTGAACCCGGTTTTGGTTTGTCTCTAACATTTATTACTGTTCTTCTCGTATTTAATGAAAAAGTAAAGTTGTACTGGTATATTCCCAATACAATGTTTCAAACCGTTAGATTTTTCAAACCAGTGTGTCTTACTTTCCATTTGGTAAGTCATTCCATATACTATATACAAGGTGATATCAAATGCTACGTAAGTGCTATTCAAATACATTTTGACAGATCTTTGACAACTTTAACATGGTTTCTAAGAGCGGGAGACGTAGTGTCCATAATATTCGGCCTCATTAAGTATTTCTTGTCTTCCGAAGGGCCATAAGTAAAACTTTCTTGACATTGACAGACATTAAAAAGCTAGTAGTACGAATACATAACTTACGTAATTTTATATTAAGTATCTACGCAACTATAGCTCTAGTGTCGTTCGAAAGATAGCGAGTGAATAAACATTAAAAAAAAAACGAAAATCTAATTATTATTACCATAGATAAAGAAAATTAGTATAGCATACACAGGTACTGTAAAGTGTTTATTTCGAGATACCGTAAATCAGTTTCGAGTGAAAGGCGATGAACGAAGACGGCGACAAAGGTGGCGAAGTTTCGACGTCGACGTCAGACGCTCGATCGAACAGCGTGCCGCTTCCTTTGAACGTGATAATTACGGAAAAGAAAAATTCGACGTTGAGAGTAAGCATCAGAAGGAGATTGAGTTTGCCAGTGCAAAAAGTGCTCAATAGAACTAGGAGTCTTAGGATTAAAGACGTTGATGGGTAAGAGTTCATTTTTTTACATAAATAAATTAAGTCGGTTTTTATTAACTCGCCGTCTTTTAAGCATTATAAAAGTACTGTAAACAATAATATAAAACAATTACCTTTTCAACTAAATGAAAACCATTGTATATGCATAGATAATAATGTTACACTGGTTCTTGGTAAACTCAATTTATTTCCAAACTCAAACTTTTATAAAACAACTATTAACATTAACATTAACGTCAAAACCATCGCCTTATATAGCTCATATGAAGACTAGAGAAAAGAAGGCGAATCGGCATATCCAAAATACGGTCCCAAAAATGAATAATTCACCACAGGGGCGCTGGTGTCGCTAGTGCTGTTCTTACGGAACTTTTACATAATTTTGTGAAAATAATAAAAATATACTTGTTTATAGCTAAATAAAGCTTAAAAAGTATTTTTGTATTTATTTCTAAATAAGTCTAGCAACAACAACAAACGAGGAATTAAAAATTAAATTCAAAGTTGCATGAGCCAATCTCACACTGTATCCTGGATTATGGTCGACGGTTTAACGATTCCTAATAGCATTCCCATCATCGTATTTATCTGAGCTTGGATTTAGTGTAGTAACAGCCCTGCTAACTAAGAAGAGAAATAGGCTGTATGTTACTGAACGCGGAGACTTACGCCTGTTTTTAAGTCACTTTGAGCACAATATTGCTAAACTCGTTAAAATGAATCAGATTTATCGCTCACATTAGTTAAGAGTTAAGTGTTAAATTCAAAGTTCCTTTAAATGTCAATAAAAATTATGGTGGGAATGTGTCCTTTTTTTATTGTCTTTTCTAAGAAAAACATTCTTATTTAGGCTCAGAAATTAGATATCTTCATCGTAATGTCCTAAACTCGTATCTTTTTCACCGACTTAAAAAAGAGGAGGTTCTATATTAGTCGTAGACCTTTTTTTATGTATGTTTTGTTCAGGACTTCTCCAGTTGGGCCTATCCCAGAAACGATAAATTATTTATTTATTATTAATTAACTGTAATAAAATTAATTATTTTTTACTTTTTAGTGAATTTTTTGAAGTCAGTTCTATTTTTTTTTGTTTATGTTCAAATACAGGTTTTTTTTTAGATAATTTCTTAGATTAAAAAAATTTGGGAGGCGCTACAAAAAATGTTTATTCTCAAAGTGGGCGGTGGGCAAAATCAGTTTAAGAACCACTGTTGTAGAACATGGAAAAACTTTGCTAGTCCCTGCAGCGATGTAGCCCTCGACGGCAACGTCTTTAAGAAGCTTGTTTAGAAAATTCCCTGTGCAAATGTGTACCAAAAAAGTGTCACTGGCTCCCCTACTGTATAGACTAGATGGCAGTTGTTTAAAGTTACGATTACAGGGGGTAATCGTCGTAGCCAAGCCACCAATTGTAAGGCGAAGATAAAAGAGAGATAGAAAATAAGTTGTATAGAAAAGTGCCGCATTTATTTCGCGCATGAGTAATGTGAAATTAATCAGTAATTAGTGTAAATAAATTATAAATACACTGGTTTAAATAAATTAATTATTTTTAAAATAAGCGAACGTTATAATATGAAAATGGTAATTATCTTTATTAGTTCTTATCTTGAATGAATGTCCTTCAGATAAATCAAATAGATAAAGATTCGACTATTTGAATTATGCGCTTAGAAAAAGTAAATAATTATTGTTTTGTTTATAAATATTACTTTTTATCAGACAAAACTCGTTTATTTTATACTATTAATACAATAATGTAACAGCGCATTAACAGATTGTCCTTGAATTGAAAGAAGACAGTTTAAGGTTTTGTACAGTATTATGCAAATTTAAAGTTTATGAACAGCTTTGAAAATAATTTAAAAAATGCCATAATACGCGGAATTTAATGGTAAAACTGTATTTCTAAAATATATTTATATATTTTGTCCTATGGTATAATCTTAAAAATAAATCTCAAATTTAGGCACGCCCCTGTTCTGTTTTTTCTATAAATATACCTTTTTACAGAGATTTGTTTTGAAAACCAACTCAAACGTTTTCCCAGTTTTTCAATCTGACAAAATTCCAAGTAATTACGGTCCATTCATAAAATCTTGGAAACACTACGTTTTCGCGAATACCCAAAAAAAAGAACCGTAATTTTTTCTCGGGTATCAGCCAGAATCTAAATCTAAGTTTACGTCAACAAACTGCTCATAAAATTTCACGTTAAGTGCGGCCAGGATTTGTATTTAATGTGCTCGTCGACAGTGAAAATAACGGAACAAATAAACATATAGACAATGTATATAAGAATAATAAAAATGCAAAAATTACGGCTAGATCCGGTGAGTCACGAGATGGTTTTGAAGTAGAAACTTTGAAAATGTTTTACGACGGGATAAAAAATACTTGGACTTTTTGTTCCGTTATCGTCCTCTTAAACAGGCTCAAAAACGTTACTTAGATTACTTTTGTATGTCCCCCAATACAATAATATCCTGGAAGCAAAGAGTTCCTGTTTTTAAAAAATGCAATTATATTGAGTATAATAGTACAATAGTACAATAGTACAATAGTACAATAGTACAATAGTACAATAGTACAATAGTACAATAGTACAATAGTACAATAGTACAATAGTACAATAGTACAATAGTACAATAGTACAATAGTACAATAGTACAATAGTACAATAGTACAATAGTACAATAGTACAATAGTACAATAGTACAATAGTACAATAGTACAATAGTACAATAGTACAATAGTACAATAGTACAATAGTACAATAGTACAATAGTACAATAGTACAATAGTACAATAGTACAATAGTACAATAGTACAATAGTACAATAGTACAATAGTACAATAGTACAATAGTACAATAGTACAATAGTACAATAGTACAATAGTACAATAGTACAATAGTACAATAGTACAATAGTACAATAGTACAATAGTACAATAGTACAATAGTACAATAGTACAATAGTACAATAGTACAATAGTACAATAGTACAATAGTACAATAGTACAATAGTACAATAGTACAATAGTACAATAGTACAATAGTACAATAGTACAATAGTACAATAGTACAATAGTACAATAGTACAATAGTACAATAGTACAATAGTACAATAGTACAATAGTACAATAGTACAATAGTACAATAGTACAATAGTACAATAGTACAATAGTACAATAGTACAATAGTACAATAGTACAATAGTACAATAGTACAATAGTACAATAGTACAATAGTACATTAGTACAATAGTACAATAGTACAATAGTACATTAGTACAATAGTACAATAGTACAATAGTACAATAGTACAATAGTACAATAGTACAATAGTACAATAGTACAATAGTACAATAGTACAATAGTACAATAGTACAATAGTACAATAGTACAATAGTACAATAGTACAATAGTACAATAGTACAATAGTACAATAGTACAATAGTACAATAGTACAATAGTACAATAGTACAATAGTACAATAGTACAATAGTACAATAGTACAATAGTACAATAGTACAATAGTACAATAGTACAATAGTACAATAGTACAATAGTACAATAGTACAATAGTACAATAGTACAATAGTACAATAGTACAATAGTACAATAGTACAATAGTACAATAGTACAATAGTACAATAGTACAATAGTACAATAGTACAATAGTACAATAGTACAATAGTACAATAGTCCAATAGTACAAAAGTATAATATTATGTTCAATTTGGATAAAATAGTCAAAATAATCTTCATAGTTCATAGAGTCCTCGAACTAAAGCTATCGGACTCAATTCAGATTATTATTATTAATTCTGTAACTTATGCAATGTAATGCGAGCCATTTCCGACCAGTCCGGTCATGCTCTAATCCCTTAACTCCCTTTATGCCTTATTTTGACCCTTTTACGACCTCACTCGTCTGATAACCATAAATATTTTAAGAATATTAAATAAGTCAAGTCACCTCTGAAATCCGTTTCCGACACGCCTGTAAGTGTGAAGCGAAATCTGTAGAAGATTGCTAAAAGTGTTGCCAGAACTTATTTAGTACATTCGAGATATATCTGGTATTTTTCCATAAGCAGTGCGGTGCTCAGTATTTTTATATAAATAGGCAAATTTTGTCGTTTGAATTAAGTGGATAGAAATAATTTTTTTGTGAATAGTTAAATTGTCCATATAAATTAATAGTGCTGATATAGAATAGTATAGGTATTATTAAACGAGCAATTTATGGTAGCCATTATTCGCGCAAGTCACCTGAGTGAATAATGGCCATAAATTGCGAGTCTAATACTATACTTTGGCCACGACCATTATGGTTTCTTTATTAAATAAAAGTTAAGTGTAGAATGGATAGTTTTTATTTAACATAGGTAACTAACTGTTGTTTTTTCGCCTCTTCAATTTTGATTTTTCGATTTTTCGTTTTTTCGATTTTTCGATTTTTCGATTTTTCGATTTTTCGATTTTTCGATTTTTCGATTTTTCGATTTTTCGATTTTTCGATTTTTCGATTTTTCGATTTTTCGATTTTTTCTTTTTTCGATTTTTCGATTTTTCGATTTTTCGATTTTTCGATTTTTCGATTTTTCGATTTTTCGATTTTTCGATTTTTCGATTTTTCGATTTTTCGATTTTTCGATTTTTCGATTTTTCGATTTTTCGATTTTTCGATTTTTCGATTTTTCGATTTTTCGATTTTTCGATTTTTCGATTTTTCGATTTTTCGATTTTTCGATTTTTCGATTTTTCGATTTTTCGATTTTTCGATTTTTCGATTTTTCGATTTTTCGATTTTTTGATTTTTCGATTTTTCGATTTTTTGATTTTTCGATTTTTCGATTTTTCGATTTTTCGATTTTTCGATTTTTCGATTTTTCGATTTTTCGATTTTTCGATTTTTCGAATTTTCGAATTTTCGAATTTTCGAATTTTCGATTTTTCGATTTTTCGATTTTTCGATTTTTTTCGATTTTTCGATTTTTTTC